TAGCATGGTACGAAAGATTGTTACAGAGAATAGGATGACGTTAGACAACAGAACTGTTTGCTCTACTCTCATGTAAAATTAACCACTCTGGCCCAGCCCACAAATACACTCCTTCCAAAACAGTTAATACAAAGTCTGCAACAAATTTGTTCAATAACTCACTAAAAGAGTAAAGAAAAGTTATGTGAAATGAAAAGAAAAACTGCAAATGAAAAGAAAAACTGTAAAAGAAAAGCAATATGAAATTAAAATAATGTGTGGAATGAAAATAAAATGTAAATGTAAAGACAAACAACAAACAAAAATATGCAAATAAGCCTTTAAATAATGCTCTTAATATTAATATACCCTATACCATACATATATACATATATATATACATATATATATATATATATATACATATGTGTGTGTGTGTGTGTGTGTGTGTGTGTGTGTGTGTGTGTGTTTCATTTAGGCTATAACAACTGTCTTAAAATGTAAGGGATACTGGAGCTTGGTTGGGGTGGTGGGACTGCTCGCGGTGGGTGCCGGAAAATTTCCCTTATTTTCAAATCCAAAACTTGACAGGTATGGCTCACACCAAACATGACAAAAACACAAACACATGGCCAGTAAAACAAATTACAAGCAATTGTGCTCATACAAAATGAGACATGAAGAACAATGAGAACACTCATGCCACGTGTTCCCACAGAACATGACAACCTGAAAGCACACAGCTAGTGTAAAACACAAGCTGTGTGCTACACAGCACAAGACAAAACATGACATGAAAGCACGCGGCCGATGTAAACACGAACCGCGTGCTACACAAAAAACAACACACTGAACAGAGCGAACACGACAAGACAGAACGTTATGCACGAGAACGACCATAAGCTTATCCTGTGCACTCACAACAGAAAACAAACACGCAGAGCATGCATGTCCGAATCCCGACACAAAACCGAAACTAAACTAGACAGATGTGCCGTGATTCAGACACCACGCCCGCACATGTAACAAGGCACCTGACATCGACGGAGGAAATGGGAATTAGGTTAAACTGTGAAATGTATGATGAAAATAGCAAATACCAAGAAATGTAAGCTTAAGCGTTAAGTTCTGTCAGGAAGACTCAATTGCTACGTCACTTATTACCTTCTCATCTATCCAATCGCGTCTAATACTTGCGGTATAAAAGACCAGTACTTACACATGTTTGAGTTCGCAGATGCTGACACTTCCATTCACCTCCATCCTCCCCACCACCACCAGGATGGTCCCTTCCCCTCCATCCTCCCCCACCACCACCAGGATGGTCCCTTCCTATACCTCACAGGGGGTCGGCTGCGCCCCTGCCTTCGTCTTCAGGCAGGAAATGCAGAGTCCGGACCCTCGGATTGCGAGCTATGGACGGGGCCTACGCCAAAGAACTTTATTGCTTGCTGGGCTATCAATAAATGTATTTATTGTACAGTATTTATTCTCCCGAGTCTTTCTGGTAGAAATATGTTACAGCAGTTTGTCTTTCGAGTACAGTTGCAAAATCCGCGATGAGACTAATCTCGAATAGCTTCCGCGTCAGCGACTTTTAATTGTGCGAAATCACTGTCAATCAAAAGGAGATGCAGTCCTCCAATCATCACGCAGACGCCCGGACTCCAGGCCAGCCCACTTCCCTATTCACCCCAGAGACACCGGGCGTCCGTGGGCGGGACATAATCGCAGCATTTATCCAATGACCGTCTAGTTTCGAAGCACTGAAAAAAACTGTTCAAAGCAGCCCCATTGAAGTCAATGGACGCTGAGCTTCAACGGGTAAATACCATAGGGAAATGCACTGTGACGCGCTACGGGAATGTATGAGAAGGAAATCGAGTCCGCCGACCTGCTATATGTAGCTGATTCTGAACGAACTCGTCTTCGAGATGACCGTGTTATAACACATTTTTAGTCAATAAAATGTTAACACAATAGTACACATTTGACCATTCATTTTTTGACATTATAGGGGAAGCTGAGCTTCCCTTGCAGTCTTAAAGAAATCGCCACTGATATATATATTTCCAATATACACAAGAACGCGCAGTAATCTCAGACAACTTAATCAAGATCAAATCCGCAAATTAATTTGAAGTAACCAGAGATCAGTTATCACGATTAGAAGATCTGGCATCTGTCAAATCATCTCAGATCTATTAAGCGAGGTTCGAATGGATCTCACCATTCGAATGGATTCTCACCAATGGATCTCACTATTGAGACACCGGCTCAGGAACAGCAGACACCGGCTCAGGAACAGCAGACACCGGCTCAGGAACAGCAGACACCGGCTCAGGAACAGCAGACACCGGCTCAGGAACAGACACAAGAACTGTAACAGTCACAAGAACAGACACAAACACAGAAACAAACACTGGCTCTGGCGCTGGAACAGGCACTGGCTCTGGAACAGACATTGGCTCCAGCTCTGGAACGGGCACTGGCTCTTCCTGGAACGGGCACTGGCTCTGCCTCCGGCTCTGGAACGGGCACTGGCTCTGCCTCCGGCTCTGGAACGGGCACTGGCTCTGCCTCCGGCTCTGGAACGGGCACTGGCTCTGCCTCCGGCTCTGGAACGGGCACTGGCTCTGCCTCCGGCTCTGGAACGGGCACTGGCTCTGCCTCCGGCTCTGGAACGGGCACTGGCTCTGCCTCCGGCTCTGCCTCCGGCTCTGGAACGGGCACTGGCTCTGCCTCCGGCTCTGGAACGGGCACTGGCTCTGCCTCCGGCTCTGGAACGGGCACTGGCTCTGCCTCCGGCTCTGGAACGGGCACTGGCTCTGCCTCCGGCTCATGAACGGGCACTGGCTCTGCCTCCGGCTCATGAACGGGCACTGGCTCTGCCTCCGGCTCATGAACGGGCACTGGCTCTGCCTCCGGCTCTGGAACAGCAGACACGGGCATGTCCAGGATCCGAGCCAGACGCTCCAGATAGTCCAGGTCCATGAAGGCAGACGGAACGTGAACAGTCTCTGACTGGGCAGACGGGACGTAAACAGTCTCTGACTGGGCAGACGGGATGTGAACAGTCTCTGACTGGGCAGACGGGACGTGAACAGTCTCTGACGGGGCAGACGGGGGACGTGAACAGTCTCTGACGGGGCAGACGGGACGTGAACAGTCGCTGACGGGGCAGACGGGGGACGTGAACAGTCTCTGACTGGGCAGACGGGACGTGAACAGTCTCTGACGGGGCAGACGGGACGTGAACAGTCTCTGACGGGGCAGACGGGACGTGAACAGTCTTTGACTCGGCAGACGCAGGTCTCCTTCTCCTCCTCCGTCTTTTCTGACAGATGTGTGCAGACTCAAGGCTGGCCAAAACCATTGACGGAATACCAACGCTGGACGGATCCAACGACGATGATCCCATTCCAGGAGAGACCAGTGAAGAAGACTCCGCTGCCCTCCTCTCTTCATTCCTCTGGTCACAGAGAGAAATATTTAAAAAGAGAAATCCCATTCTCTCTCTCAGCCGGACAAAGTTCGCTCCGCTGAATCCACATGTGGCTCGTTCGTTCTGTCACGGAGGGTAGTGGGAATAAATCCGTGGACTCAGGTGCGGAGTGAATGAATATTTTAATAAAGACAAAACATAAAATAAACAAAAGAAAACCACGATAATACTAACTACATCCAGAACAAACAAGGCAGGGCAAGACGGGCACGGAACATAACGCAACAACAAATGTAACAACTACAACAAACGAGCCCAGGACAGCAAACACATGTAGATTAAATAGGAAGGCAAATAAAGGAGGGTAACGAGACAGACAGGTGGAGCAAATAAACCAATAATCAGATAACAAGGGGGAGGGATCAAACAATGACAAGAGCACATGGCTCAAAATAACAAAACACCCATGTGCATCACAAGACAGGACAGACATGTGACAGGAACATAATGACTGATCCAAAATTCTTCTTTGCATTTGCTGGCTTGTTTGTCTTCAGAAGTACTCTTAAGTTTAATTAGCTTTTTTTGATTAGTGTAAAGAGATAACTTGCATACCAATAATTAGTAGTAGTCACTGTCACCAACCCTGCTGATACAGCCAGAACTCTTTTAGAACAATGCTCTTTTAGAACAACCTAACCCAATCGCTCCCCGGGTGCCACAGCTAAATGGCTGCCCACTGCTCCGGGTGTGTGTGTGCAGTGTGCAGTGTGTGTGTGTGTGTGTGTGTGTGTTCACTGCTCCCTTCTCCTAATGTGTGTGCTCTAACTTGAATGGGTTATGCAGAGGACAATTTCCGAGTATGGGTTGCCATACTTGGCCTTAACATCTCTTCACTTTACATTATGGTTTTATTGATCACATCCATTGATTAATAGGTGGCTAGACCTGATGGATGTCTTCAATATATGGCTTTTGTGGATAGCTTTTCAAATAGTCTGTTTCTGTTCTATATATTTTGGTTCCAGTGCTAATTCACTCAAGATGTGAGAGTGAAACCTGTGATCTAATGCAGATCTAATGACTAACTTAACAAGAAAACACATTTATTCCATCAAACAATATATTATTGGCATATTGTTGAGTCATGTTAATGTGAAATAGCTGTAAACTGTACAGAAGAACTTCAGATGCTAATAATAACAGCAAAATAACAGTTCCATTAAATATTGACCAGGATAATCTACGTGAGATCTTACACATGATCTTGTACTTAAACCATTTTTTTTTCAATTGCTATATGCTATTATTGTAATAATGTGATTATTCAGAGTGATATAATGGTCTGCACTGTACATTACAGAGGGTGGTTGCATTTTTGGTCTTGTATTGGTCTGTATGTCTGTAATTGTATTAATGTTTGAGGAAAGTGAACAGGTTCTCATTAACTCCTTATGAATCCGCTCCTTTTGCCCTGCCTGTGCGGGCTGCTCTGAATGAAAGCCTCGTTCTGATTGGCTGTCTGAACGGTGGCAGGGCTGATAAACCCCCAGGCTTCCCTGCTGTTCCACATCACTCTGCTTTGCTCTCTCTCAGTGTGTGTGTGTTTATATATGTGTGTTTAAAACAAACAAAGCGTGTGAGGACCGACGAGAGGGACATCTCTTCTTTTTTGCCTGACACTGTAAGTACAATGAAAGCTATTAAAGGGAAGAGAGAGTTATTATGAGCATAACACTTGTTGAGCGTTTAGAACATGGTCCAGGTACAAGGTCCAAATACAGGACTATTATGGGATTTTGTCAGGTCGATGATGCATAACTACTGAGGTGGATTGTCTTTACTTTCTCTTTTGCATTTTGTTTCTTATTATAAAGCATGTTGAGTTTAATATTCATTTTTTTTTAAATGTCACCTTGCCAGTTAAATCTAATAAGGCAAATGTCAGCAGACTTTAGCTTTTACTCCATTTTTACAACACCTACTTCAGTGCAGCATGACATGCCATAAAGATATCTGCACTTGATAACCCATAAAGTGTTTACTGAGATGGCTGTAGCTTTACAAATCAAAATCAGACTGATTATTAATTCAAGCTTTTAAATGCAAGTTTTCTTTCCTCAAAATTGTTTTAGGAACATTATGATAATGACTGATCCAAAAATGCTTCTTTGCAATTGCTGGTTTGTTTCTCTTCAAAAGTATTATTAAGTTGAATTAGCTGTCATTTTAATTTAGGACATCTGGGAATGTATAGTAAAAATGCTTGCAAAATACAAAAAGAAATTCAAAAATGTCCTTTTAGAGATAGGGTTAGGGTTTGTCAATGTAAGTCCATGATATGTCCTCAAATAGCTAATTTATATTTGTACACGTGTGCAAATATGAACAAATAATAGTACTTACTAGTACGTAATCAAAACGACCGGCCACCTTCTGGATGAGTCATCACTTGCATACACACACACACACACTGACACTTCTCAATCCATTTGTATTATGTGGATTAGGGTGAAGAGATAACAGCCATCCAAATAATTAGTAGTAGTCACTGTCACCAACCCTGCTGATACAGCCAGAACTCTTTTAGAACAATGCTTTCACTGACATACTGTAGTTTCTTTCTATGCTCTAAAAAGTACCAATTTATGGTCAATTTAACCAATAGCCTGAGCCTATGTGTGATTGAGTGAGGAAAATCAGAGTAATAAATTCGTAAAATTAGTGCAAATTAGCTATGCCAGCACACTGTTAAAACTTTAGTTTGGAAAGTTCACATTGTTCATTTTTATAGTATGTGTTTGGCAATCTGTAATGTTCTTATCAGCAAATATTGCTACTCATGTGCAGGGATGATGGTTGATTATGTTTTAACATACATTTTGGGTGCACTTTATTTTACAGTACATGCACGTAAGTGTACTTACATTGTATTACCTACGAAAGTATGTACATGGGTTAAGGTTAGGTTTAGGGGAAGGTTCAGGGTTAGTAGTCATTACCCAGTTATTGCAATTACTATAAGTACATGGTATGTACATGGGAAACAAGACTGTAAACTAAACTAAACTAAACAGCTACCTACATTTGTTTTATTCCCTTTTTTTCATATTCACACAAATATAATTCATTTGTGCAGTCTGCATGAGGTGCATCTATTATTTCACAAAATATGCTGCAAGGTTATTTATATTTACTAAAACTTAAATTACTACGAACAATTTTGTTATTTTAATTTTTAATTAAATCTGAAATAAATACAAATATAAGATGAAATTCAAAATAGCTTTTTTTTAAAATATATATTACCTTGGCAGCTAACTTGGCAGCTATGGGACAATAAAATTAATAACTGAAAAAAAGAAAGAAAAAAAAAACTAAAATTAAAAATAACCATAAATAGTTATACCCCCCCAAAAATTAAGTAATTAATCAAAATAATTTGATAGATAGATAGATAGATAGATGATAGATAGACAAATAAATAAAGTACAATAAATGAAAACTGAGAATATAAAAATATGCAAGTAACCCTAAACCAAACCGTAATCCTGACCATTCAATAGTGTAACACCTTAAAATAAAGTGTAACCAAAAACTATAAGAGTAATAATAAGTAAAATAACACTGATATGATGCAGGATTGTTTACTGATCTACAGATCTGAATTCTTAAAATAAAAAAATGAAAATACTCACCGAAACTAATGTATTGTTGAGGATCTGCTATAATTACCTTTCATGTCTTGAACATGTGGCCTTTGGCTAGTTTTCCGCTTAAGATACTGACAATCATGTTGTCCATGAAAACAGTCTCAATCACACTAATATAATTACAGCTCTCCTCAGTTGAGGACATTGAGAGGAACCATAGGCTACATCAGATTGACTTTTATTCTTCCCACTGAAAGACTACTCCTCTTTCAGCCAAAGCGATGGACACTGCAGAGTTCCGGAGACGCGGGAAGGAGATGGTGGACTATGTGGCAGATTATATAGAGAACATTGAGAAGAGGCAGGTTTACCCTGATGTGGAACCTGGATATCTAAGGCCATTGATTCCCGAGGAGGCCCCGGAGGAGGCAGAGAACTATGAGGATGTGGTCAAAGACATAGAGAGGGTGATCATGCCAGGGGTGAGTCAGTGCTTACCAGCTCTGACACCGTTTTACTGTCTTAAAGTAAAAATTAGAATTCTGAACACAAAAGAAGATATTTTAAAGAATGTCGGTAACCAACCCGTTTCGGGTCCATCAAGTGTTTGGTTACCCATATTCTTCAAAATGTCTTCTTTTGTGCTCAGCAGAAGAAAGAAATTCATACAGATTTGGAACAACTTGATGGTGAGTAAATGATGACAGAATTTTCATTTTTGGGTGAACTATCCCTTTAAGTTGAACTTTGTTTTCAACTGGTGAGATTCGTTTAGGCATCATATTTTAATAGGATGTTTCTCACCTCTATAGCTTTAAGTCAATTTATGTACGATACATTATTTTAAGTCTTGATGGCTGCTATTGATAATTTACACCAAATGTACAACTTACTGAACATGTTCACGTTTGTGACAACAGCACCCCAATAGCAGAGGCAACTACTGTTTATAGACACTGATTAGAGAAACATACCTTTTTATAAAATATAAAATACTAAAGTGAATATGCAAAATATCTGTATTTAAAATGTATTTAATATTTGTATCTATTTAACAGAAAATTTGTTAAAGGAAACAACTATGAAACAAAATTTATGAAATACATAACACAATAATCAAATCTTTATTTTGGTCATTGTAAATAATCAGTCATTTTAATATAATTGGTAACACTTCATTTTGCCGTGTCCTTTTTACGCTACATGTACTTACTGTAGTAATAAATGTAACCTATAATTACATGCAACTAACCAAACCCTATCCCTAATTATATAGTAAGTACACTCTGTTAGTTAATATTACTTAGTACTTAGTTAGTTAATATTACTTAGTAATGTAATGCTACACTGTAACAAGGACACCTTAAAATAAAGTGTAAGCATTTAATTTATCAAACGTTTGCAAAAACTATGCAAAAGGATCATTTCAGTTCTACATTGTTTTGTGTTCATATGCTTATCCAACAGCTATAGCAAAAATATAATCACTGAAATTTTATTTTAGAAAAAAATTGTTGAAAATTTGTAAACTGTTCCTAGAAAACAAACAAAAACATTTGTCTAAACATTCTAGTTATAGACATAGAGCTCTTGTAACATCTTGTAACATAACAAAAGTTGTGTATATTTCACTTACTGACATTATTTCCACCATTTAAACTGATCTACCAAGTATTAAACAGATAGGATGATGGAGTTATGTTATTCACCATGCCGATGATGTAAGTGCAAATATTAGGTGCAGATAAAGAGACACTGTATTTTGTTGAATGGGTCAGTGGCCATATTGAGAGACCCTCAAAGTTGTTTCTCCTTAGACATACTCAAAGTCCACCTTTTTTTGTGGCTGGTAATCTGATAGTAAGGAAATGAATCATTAAACTCTGACCTGGGGTCAGAGAAAAGCCTCCCCCACACCTTAATTTCATAGCTCAGAGGAAAAAAACAAACATTTTAATTCAGTTAAAGGTGTTAACCTTCCCAATGTGTCCAATTAGACCAATTTTCCCTTTCAGAAGTCCTGTATTAATGCTTGTTTAAAAGTGTGTGCTGGAGCTAATGAATGACTCACAATAGGAAAATCCTGCAAGAGAGAGACAGACGCACAGTGCCTCAAGCTCTCTCCTCTGCTAAACACATGGAATAATTTAATCTAGCCTTCACAATTTCATCTAACCTTTAACTTTCTGAGAGAAAAACCCAAATGTCACTATTTCTTAAATCATAATCCCTGTTCAAAATTGTAAAGGTGAACAACAACAGAGCAACCAAACTAAATCTGACAGATCACACAGTTCCCTTACTCTTTAGCTTGATAAAATGTTAAATTACAGATGGAAATACAGAGGTTGTAAAAATGATCTATTGAAAGTTTTTTATGACCATTGAATATAAATTTTAAACAATTGTTTCTACATGTTTACTGCACTGTTTCAGGTGACTCACTGGCACAGCCCGTACTTCTATGCATACTTCCCTACTGCCCACTCTTTTCCTGCAATGCTGGCAGACATGCTATCTGGAGCCATTGGCTGCATTGGATTCTCTTGGGTATGTTTTTCTCTCTATTCATCCATCCATCACTTAGCTCTCTGTCTGTCTGTCATCCAGCCAGCCAGTCAGTATTTCTGTCCATTTGTCTATCTATCCATCAATTTAGGAACCTAAACCTACCTGTCTGTCCGTCTTTCCGTCCATCCATCCATTCATCCAGTTAGCCATCTGTATATCCATCCATCAATCCATCCATCCATCCAGTTAGTCATCTGTATATCCATCATCCAGTTAGTCATCTGTATTTCCATCATCCAGTTAGCCATCTGTATATCCATCATCCAGTTAGCCATCTGTATATCCATCCATCCATCCATCATCCATCCAGCCATCCGTCCATCCATCCAGCTAGCCATCTGTATATCTATCATCCATCCAGCCATCCGTCCATACATCCATCGGTGCAGTTAGCCATCTGTATATCCATCATACATCCAGCCATCCGTCCATCCATCCATCCAGTTAGCCATCTGTATATCCATCATCCATCCAGCCATCCGTCCATCCATCCATCCAGTTAGCCATCTGTATATCCATCATCCGTCCAGCCATCCGTCCATCCATCCGTCCATCCATCCATCCATCCATCCATCCATCCATCCATCCATCCATCCATCATCCATCCATCCATCCAGTTAGCCATCTGTATATCCATCATCCATCCAGCCATCCGTCCATCCATCCATCCATCCATCCATCCAGTCTGCCATCTGTATATCCATCATCCGTCCAGGCATCCGTCCATCCGTCCATCCATCCATCCAGTTAGCCATCTGTATATCCATCATCCATCCAGCCATCCGTCCATCCATCCATCCAGTTAGCCATCTGTATATCCATCATCCATCCAGCCATCCGTCCATCCATCCATCCAGTTAGCCATCTGTATATCCATCATCCGTCCAGCCATCCGTCCATCCATCCATCCATCCATCCATCCATCCATCATCCATCCATCCATCCAGTTAGCCATCTGTATATCCATCATCCATCCAGCCATCCGTCCATCCATCCATCCATCCATCCAGTCTGCCATCTGTTTATCCATCATCCGTCCAGCCATCCGTCCATCCATCCATCCAGTTAGCCATCTGTATATCCATCATCCATCCAGCCATCCATACATCCATCCATCCATCCGTCCATCCATCCATCCATGCATCCATCCATCCAGCCATCCATCCAGCCATCTGTATATCCATCCATCCATAGCCACCTGTCTGTTCTTGTAGGCTGATGCAGGATTTTTTGTTTTGTAGGCAGCGAGTCCTGCCTGTACGGAGCTGGAGACAGTGATGCTGGACTGGCTGGGAAAGATGCTGAAGTTACCAGAAGATTTTCTTGCTGGTACAGAAGGCAAAGGGGGAGGGGTCATCCAGGTGAGATAATTAAGAAAAGATTTTGGCTGCTAGTACTGTAAGTTTATTTGAATGGCATCACTTATTCAGGGGTTTCAACCAGGGTTATCTTCTCCAATAATCTTCATGTACCCCTGGTTTAAACCCCTGTATAAGTGATGCCATTTGAAATTACTGAAAAGGTTGATCTATATCCGACAACATGCAACATGCGACATATCCGACAACATGCATTGTAATATCGAAAATTTGTTTAAAAAATATCTGAATTGGCAACAGGATCTTGCATCAGGTGTCAAAAAACGGGATGTTTCAAACCACTTAAATGCCACATGCTCAATCCATGTTTACGGGTAATTTCTTTTGAACAACAACAAATATCAAATACATTTCAATGACAGCAATTTGTTTGTCATTGATTTTCTTTCCTAGGCCCTGACAATTGTTACGCCCAGTAGAAATTGCCTTTTAAGACGTCAGCTACACATGAGAGGAGACAGTCAGGCAGGCGTGCGTTGAGAGCAGTCCATGTTCATTTCATCACTATCGATGCAGCAGTTGAGCAGCTGTGACCATTTAGAGAGAGACACAGGAAGCACAGCGAATGGAAAGCCCACTGATGACAGTCGGTTTGATGCTCTGTCATTAGGGCCGCTTTAGAGTGTGTCCTTCTCCTGGATGGTTTTGTCTCCGGGCTTTTCAGAGAGCTCACTATGGCAACAGGCATTATTTTCACTGATAGCACACACTAATGAGGAAGTTTGTGGGTTTTTGTAAGCAATGCCTTTCAGCAAAGGTGGGCGTAGTAGAGAGGGGAGGAGAACAGGTGTAAGAAGTAAATTATGCAAGTAAAACTGAGCATGTAGCGTTTGACATTGCAAGTGTTGGAGTGCATTCATTCTCATCACAGTTTTCATTTGTAAGTCTTAACCCTGTAAAGCTTGACATGAAATAAGTCAGAAGAATCTTTTTTTTTAACTGAAAAGTTGATCAAACTTTTAGACAAAGTTTTTTGAGTGTCATATTTGATACATTAGGCTTTTATGGCTCATATAGTGTGATAGAAGAGAAAATGGAGCTCATATTTGAGGAGGAAAAAACACCAAATCTTTATTAGAGGCCCACACTGAGCAAAAAATATGCATTTTGGTGCAGTTGCTGATATTTATATAGTTAAAAAGTAAGATGAAATTATGATAGATTGTAATGTAAATCAATGAAATCTTCATAAATGTTGAGCGCTGGCTTGACTTGATTATCCACAACAATGAGGCTTGACGCAGATGAACGATGAAATAACATTTAGTGAACTCTAGGAACCAAACAGAGATACATATCATCCTGAAACGTTAACACAAGACAAAGAACAGACAAAGTCTGAAGGTTTAAATACACAAGAAGACAAAGGGCTAAATGAAGGACAGGTGTAAGTCATTAGTTGACATGGTAACAAAGGTAACTATGGAAACAAGCAAGATGACAATGGAAACCGGAACTAAATCACAGGAACTGAAACCAGAAAAATAAAGACAAAAGAACATAAAAGTAAAAGGCCTTGAACACAGAGACACAGGCAATCGTGACAGAACCCGAACCCCCCTCCTCCCCATGTTGATAATATAGAGGCCTTCGAAATTTTCATGACAAATATGATACAGTAGGGTTATGTGGTGGATGTGGCATTTAACCAAAGATTTTGGAATTTGAAATCCTATACTTATAACAATATTAATATTTATTTATTTATTTATTTTTCAACATCTAAGATAAGTGCATGGGTTTTGGTCTATATAGCTAATTTTGCCCTTCATAACAACTGGGAGGGGGGTGAATTTTTTTATAACTCATCCGTTTCAATTATATTAAGACTTAAAGTTCTGCACAATTAAGGGCGTGGCCACTTGAGTGACAGGTGGATTGCCACAGCTGTCGTTACTAGCCGTTTGTCTGCTGTCTGTGTCTGTCCGTTGTTGCCGAGTATCGTGGGAACAACCAGCACTGGTTTTCAGTTGTCTTCCTCTGTGAACATGCACTCATGGATGTCTGAAAATTTAGTTTTGGAGTTTTCAGATATAAAAACATCTATAGATTTAGAGGCTACAATCGTTCAGCGGTACTCTCACGGAACAGATAGACTATATATGCTTATTTAACTTTTAAGTGTTAAATAAAAAGTACAGTCAGATGAAATCCTGCAGGTGTCAGTGCTTTCGCCATCCATGCAATAGATGCACATCCTTGAATGAGCGCGGATTTCTAGTGGATTTACATGAACTTCTTAGGTAATATCTTTGGTTTTGAGAGGCGGCCAAAATCAGAATTTAAAATGGACTGAATAAAGCTCTCTATGAACTTAACATGACTGACATGTATGCGCATGAATCACTGTCACACACATGCACACGCACTCGCACACGCTCAATATTGTAAGTTACTAAGTTACATTTTTAACTAGCAGACTAATAATAATGCATCAAGATACACATAGTCTCAATTTAGCTATGTCTTTTAGCTATTATAGTATTTCGAAGGGCAAAAACATGAACTTTAACTATTGGCTTTACTTCAAGTCAGCTGTCACTTTAGCACAAGGCCAGTAGCATATATGCTACTATGCTATATATAGCATTAGCTCCTAAGCTAATGATCACGTCGAGCTAGGCGGGCGTGGTTTCAGCAACCAGGCACCTCAGCTACACCCACGTCCCGCCTCTTTGCCCATTTTCAGTTACCTGGGAATGACGCGCTGCCAAGATGGCGATGGCGATGGCCGGCTTCGCCCACTTTAGGCTTCAAAAACGCTCTTCAGAAACCTACGGGTGACGTCACAGAGACACTAGGTCCATATTTTTTTACAGTCTATGGTTTTTACGCTATCACTGTTTTGCCTAGTCTGCTTAATCAATTCCTTATGAATTAACTGACACATGATTTAGACCTTGTAAATGGTCTAAATCATGTGTCATGTCAGTAGTCCTGAATTAATGCTAGAGTGAATCACTAGCATTAGCAGCTAGAGAATGTGCATTTTACATTTATGCAGCAGCAAGCAGGCAATGTAAGGATACAGAGAAAAGCTTTTCTGAACTCTTTAAAGTGAAAGGCTTTTATTTGTATCACATATATAACAGAGCCACAGCATTTCCTATTATGTTTACAGCAGCAACAACAGCAACAATCAGATTGCAATGTTAACGAATATCAACGGCAGTAGCAGACGTTGCGGTCAAGAAGACACTTTGACCTAATGATTCGATCATGAAGTGAAAACATTACCATTTTTAAAATACAAACAATGTATTCACCTTATTTACATACGAAGTATGTGAGCAGGTGTATTTTCCCCAGAATTATATTTGGGCATATACTATTTCATAACTACAGGACGAACAGTGATCTATGCTAATGTCGGATACCTTTCGTTTAGACTACTGCTCACACATACAATGATAATTGTCATTTCAACTTACCTAGAGCGTGCAAGGCAGTTTTCATGTATTTCTCAAACGAAAGCAGAGCACCACAGCGATGCTGTCATTTTGGCAAATGCTCCACCAGGTATGTGTGCTGTGAGTGTGTGCGCTGGATAATGTCAGGATTCCGTTGCGATGCGTTTGCAGCGGTGGATGTTTCGATCACGGACATGTCGTTATAATGTGTGGTGGCCATCAGAGGCGTTTATTATCAGTCAAAATCACTCAGTACTTAGAACGCAGAAGTATTGCCTTAAAGGCCGTGGGTATATAAATCACTCAAGATATGTATATCATTTTTAAAATGTCTCAAAAATGGTCTTAAAGACCTGGTTTTTTTTACGTTTTTGGTATATATTTTTTTACGCAATTCTGTGATGACGTCACGTTGGGGAGAAGTGGAGGAAAGGTAGCCTCAGCCTAGTATTAGAACTATGGTGACTGACTGGGATGAGGAAGAGGTGGCAAGAGCCAACATGAGCGGGCAAATGAGCAATTGCCAAGAACTGATGGCCGTCAAAGCCAATTAAATGCATGGTCCGAGGAGAATGAGTGAGTAGAGAGTTGGTGAAGTGTCCTGGTGAGTTGCTTGCAATGAGTCTAGTCTACAAGCAGCAGTGCACTGCAGTAACGACACTTTTTTTAATTTTACTGTGATTGAATAGCACCGAGTGAAAAATCAACGTTTTCTTTATATCTAGCGGCAGTGATCATGACGTTAGTTCAGATAAGTACCGGTAACCTTTGTCATAGTGTACTGGTAAACTTTGTCTTTGTCATCTAGAAATAGAAGGCATCATGCTAGCTATATGGGCGTTTCTAAGCGTTTATCTCTTCCTCCGGTGAAAATGTTGTTGCAAACGTAGCCGTCACGTGTCTGTCGCTGTGTTTGGCAGGTGCTTGTGTGGGCGGTGCCGTCCCATGGAAACTGCGTTGGAAAGCTTGTGCTGTAGGGAAGGGAAGTGAGTGCGTTTTGGTCGCTGGTCGAGGAGCTCACCCCGCAACCAGATGTGACGTGCCTCACCATTGTCAATCTACCTACTATCTATTTATATCTATTTATCTATCTAGCTGCTATCTATGCTAATGTTATGCTATCTGGCTGTCTGCCTATCTCTCTATACTAGCCTATCTATCTACATCTATCTATCTGTCTATCTATATAGGCCTATCTATATCTATTTATTTATCTATTTATCTATAATCTGCGCTATCAGAATACTCTCATCTACTACTCGTCTCTCTAGTCACTCTCAATGCTCTCAAGGCGGGCTTTGGTAAATTCTCTCCCCAAGGTGACGTAATGCAATGCATTGTGGGGGAAAGGAGAATTGTTGCAAACCGCTGTAAGATAGTACCTACTTTTTCATATTATATTCCGTTTTGTGATACCCAACAACATAAAATACAATGGATAAGTTTAAATGTTTATTACCAACAAGCAAATTGCACAAATTCGTTGAAAAATTAACCCTGCAACTCTGCCTTTAACAACAAGATTGTAAATAGGAGACTCATTGCAATTTGCACAGCTCACTGATGTAGCGGCACTTTCTGAGATCACACGGGCTGAGATGAGCGAGCAGTTTGCATGATCTAGCTCAGTGGTTCTCAACTCCAGTCCTCGGGACCCACTGCTCTGCATATTGTGTATGTCTCCCTTATTTAACACACCTGATTCAGATCCTCAGCTCGTTAGAATAGACTCTATGAACTGAACTGAGTGTGTCAGATAAGAGACATACAAAATGTGCAGAGCAGCGGGTTGAGAACCACTGATCTAGCGACTATATGTCATTCATTGAATAAGTGTTCATGCTTGGTGAGGACAGACAGTCCGGTGCAGGCTGCGAAGTTCAGGACTGACATGTGGGATCCACTCTCAAATTGTGTTGTTGACATAACCATTGCATGGGACAGATGAAATGTCAAGTAGTAACGCTTTAGTAATGTAACTCAGACAATAGATATAGGCCCAATAGAATATCAGCTCAAATATTTGAGTTCTTTCCCAAATTTCGTAAAATAATGACTCGTAAATCTGATGTTCGTGGCACATTTCTATTCTCTTGGTGGACACTGCTATACAGCATCTGCATTAAGCACCATCACTAAATTTTGGGAATACTGGGTTCCAGAACCAGGAAGGGCATTCACGTTTAAATATTAATATTGCTTATACGAAACAACAAACAATGCCTTATTGGTTTAAGAAAGGTGTTTTACAATCTTGCATTTGACGCAGGAGTCACAGGCCAATAGAGTTAAGCTATTCGGCAAAGCAGCCCCAGCCACACATAGTAACAGGCCAATAGAGTTAAACCATTCGGCAAAGCAGGCCCAGGCACACATAGTCTAATAGGCCACCAGAGCCAAGCCTTACGGCTTAGACTACTTAGTTTAGCGGCACGCATACACTGGTATGTAGAGACATACGTAGAACACCACATTGGTAAGTCATTAGGGACACCCCTTGAAAAAAAAAAGAAAAAGGGTACACTAGTTCACATAGGGCTACAGTGCGAAATGCTTCACACACCTTATATGCACCTCAAGGCAGCCCACATGTCTAATGGCTAGATATGTTTGGGGGGAATACTGCGTAGGCAGATCTAGTCCGCCTAGACCAAACATACACCCCATTTCTCATACTCAAGATGAAAGGGCCAGGCACACATAGATAGCATAAACACATTCCTATGGCTCTTCAGAGAAACATCAGTGCATATGTTTTGGCGGTAGATCTGCTGGGGGTGGGGGATTTTCTGATGTACAGTACACTTGGTTTGTATTGTATTGTCAAATACCATGTCACCTGCTCTGTTGGGGGGTAATTCATGTACGCTATATTGTACAGCAGCAGCATGTCTTTGCTCACAGCAGGGTGTCGTATATGTATTGGCAGTAGCAAGTCCTGTACTTGCTCTGCCGCAGCAGCAATAGCAATAAAAGCAGCAACAGCAGCAGAGTAGCAGATCTATTCCGCCAAGACCAAACATACAAACATACATTGTCATACCCATTACCATGCCAATCACTCCGAGAGTTATCTATACAGAACCAAATTTGAAATTGGTTTCATACTTGGGTTGCCAAACAAATGTGGCAATAGTTTTCCAGTAAACCGATTCATTAGTAATCAGGATGTGGGTGTGAGCTGTCAGGCTGACAAAGGGAAATCAAAGACAGCTCATGACTCACAATGAGCTGAGGTGATCTGTATTGAGGGGTTTCGAGTGGAAGTCTTCTCATTCACTCATTGAGAACATACAAAACAGAGCTTGAGAGCTGATGAAAATTCATCACCGCTGCATCACCAGGGCATATTGATTGAGGTTGTTTCGCTCAATGAAATATCCAAGATGAGAGAATTGTGTGTCAAATAATATTGGACATGCCTACCAATTATGAGAACAGCTTAATATAGATAGCAACATTTGGTGTACTAGACATGGTCAAATGAATAAATAAATATGCTGTTTGTTCATACAGGGCACTGCCAGTGAAGCCACTCTCATGGCTCTTCTTGCTGCTCGTTCCAAAATCGTCAAACTGATCCAGGCTGACCATCCTGACCAATCTGAGGCATATATTACATCTAAACTAGTCGCCTACTCATCTGATCAGGTGAGACAACAAGCCCAGATGAAAGATTAATGCAAGGGTATATTTAACCTACAGTACTTAAACTAATGGTCTGCAAGATAATACGCATCATTCAACAGGCACTATGACCATGGCGTCGTGTTCTTCTGTAAGTAAGGACGAGAGTTAGTAGGGGGGAGTAGGGATGATTAGCAAGAATTCTCATTGAATGGAAATGTCAAACAATGCAAAAGGGTATCAGGATAACAGTGAAGTGCCACTTGTTTATGAATGTGCTTACAGTATATATGTGTCTGTAAAAGTCTAATTGGAAACTATGAATATTTGGCCATGACAGTAATGGTCATGTTTTTAAAACAATCCTTAATTCAGAAATAACATTGCAGTGTGTTGTTGATATTTCAGGCGCACTCATCGGTGGAGAGGGCAGGGTTGATAGGTGGGGTGCGGATGAAGAAAATTCTCTCTGACAATAAGTTTTCTGTGCGAGGAGATGCACTGCGGAGAGTTATAGAGGAGGACAGAGCCACAGGACTCATTCCATTTTTTGTATGTATCTTATCACATGCTTCATTTAAACAACACATCACTAGTGAAAAACAATAAATAAAGCAACATAGTATTATTACTTACTTATTATTACTCAACATATTTTGTTGATCCTGGAACAACATTTCTGTCCGAAAATTGTTCTAATTCTATCCTTACACTAAACCTAACCCTACCCATAACCTATCCCTAAAATAATGATAGGTGAATAATACTGATGTTGAAGCACCTAACCCTGGTTGTAAGCCTTAACTTGAGATCAATTGTATCCTTTACCCTCAAATATGATTGGTTGATTGGAATGTTGTTCCAAGGAACATGTTGTACTTGGTGAAATCATGTTCATCATATACAGTCAATCCAAAAATTATTCAGACACCATGTATAAATTTTTTTTTTTTTTTTTACTAGTGGGTGCAGGACATAATAGTTCATTTATGTAAGTAAAGTAAACTGTGACATATTATACCCAAAAATGTTTCATACAGTGGACTAAAAAATTCGGGACCAAAAATTATTTAGACACTTTGACCTGACCATGTTTTGCAAAGTGTTTTTTATTTTTATTGCTAATGCAACCTTTTTACATCACAGACTGAACAAAATTAAGTATTTCTTGGTAATTGGTTGACCTAAATTGGTATTATCTAATTGTGTAGTTAAATTTAACAGATGACAGCTGACAGCTATTCAACCTAATTCATTTGTGAGACAGTCTAACAGAAGGATGGCCAAAACCAGTGAAATATCAATTGATTTGATAACTCTGAGCTCTTGTCATATTTTATTACCATTTTCTAAACTATAGTGAATAAACTGTGATAATGTGAGAAATATTGAAGGTGTCTGAATAAATTTTGGTTTGACTGTACATATATAGTAGTAGTATTAGTATTATAACTTCCATCCACTATACTGTATAAAATTAACAGTACAAAATAATAGAATCAGTCAAACATCGTGGTAGAAAGATAGCAGCCCCTCAGACTGTTAGAGAGCATGAAATGAGAACAAATTGGACATTTGTCTCTGCTCTTTCTCTGAACCTGTCCCCCACCGTCTGCATGATGGCTAATGCTGTTTGGAGAGCCTGTTTTCTGAATCACATTAGTCAAATTAGCCTTAGGCTCAGCCAGCAGATTTGTCTTAGAAGAATGACAAAAAAAGCAGGAACAAATCTTTTTGTGATCAAGCAGGGATCAAATGAATTTTTCATTGAACATTATAGGTTGTTGACTTATTTGTTTGAGTAGAACATAAAATATTAAAATCAATACATAATAATCCATCCATTTGACTTTCTGGATGTTTCTCTTAGTTTTGTGCGACATTGGGAACAACTCCATCCTGTGCTTTCGACTGCATCACTGAGCTCGGCCCTATTTGTAAGAACAAATACCATTTATTGTTATTTTCTGTTGTAGCTTATTTGTGGTTGCAATAAAATCAATATTTTGATGAATATTTTGATGGAAACATTGTCAATATTTCTGTGTCAGGTAATGCAGAAGAAATCTGGATGCACATTGATGCCGCATATGCTGGGAGTGCATTTATCTGTCCGGAGTTCAGACCCCTCCTGAATGGAGTAGAGGTGAGATAACATTCAAATCACACATTGTGTTCTTAAGCACACTTCACACAGGCTGCTCTTCACAAAGCCTTGAAAGGTGTGAGTGATAACAGAAGAGCAATCTGTGCTGTGCTCAACTATTGATCCTGTTACTTGGGAACGGCATGTGGAGGACGGAGTCGTGTGTGTGCGCGATTGAGAATATTTAAATGTCACCAATGATGCAAGCTGGCATGAGCGATGTCTTGTGGAATGGGCGGGAAATTAGAGATCCCTGATCGTCCTTTGAGTTGACGTGGCACCCAGCTGGGTGTTGCAATGATAAGGGTAAAGTAATTTCCTGAGGCAAAGAAAGACCTTTAGATAAGTTCATTTTTCCCCTGCTAAAGAAATATCACTGTTTATTAGCATCACAAGTTCAAACAATAGTGCAGACAGTGCTGCGCTGCTCAGACGATGGTTTTTATTATTGACCGGAATGACAGTAGGCTGCTGTTTCCGGTTTGCAGTCCGTTGCCAGGGAGTGAAAGACAGGCAAGACTCAGCATGGCAACATTCAGAGCGTGATGACAGTGTCTGCCTTCTTTATTGCAATAGAGAGAAAGGATATTGGAAAGGGGAGAGTGAGCAAAAAGATTAGACTTTGAGATAGTGGCTCTGTTCGAATGCTCATTGGACAGATGCTGCTGTTGATTGTGAAGTTTGATACATTGGATCAGAGTCAAGACTCAAGAGTAGTTCATATCCAACAGGTAGGTGACAGATGACTCATCTTTAATTTTATTTTCATATTTCAAAATTTTTACACAGATTCTTGACTATTGGGATAAAAGAGGCTCCAAAACTGGTGAAATTATTCAAAGTTATTCACCTATGTTTGGGTGCAATCTCCATGTTTTCACAATTAGTTTTTTCTTCCACAAATACAAAATGTTGTCCAATATTTTTTTTTAATAAATATTGACACACCTAGCAATCACTTAATAAATAAATGAATAACAGAATTGACACCTTCTCTATTGGTGTTGCTAGATACTGTTAGGACCTATTTAACATGATGGGAATTATCTTAAAATCGCAAACAATTTTGTATAGAGTTCAGATGTCATGGTTGTAATAAAGACAATCTTAGCAAAATATCACATGTAAAACTTTCATACTTGTAAAACAGTGTTATATCTTCCCCATGTCTTGTTTGAACTTTTGTGTTACTTCCTGTTTCTGTGCCATGTTTGCAGTCCCTTTATAATGTTATCATGTTGATTAGTTCCCTGATTGTTCCCAGGTGTGTCTTGTTAGATTGTTTACACTTGTGCATCGCACCCTTCACTATTCTCTACATTATTCCACTAATATAGTTACGAGTGAACGAAATTGAAAAATGAGTGTTCCAGAAGGGCTGCTGCTTTTGCAAAGTTTGTGTTTGCTGTTTAATAATTGTTTGAAACTTAGCAAACTGGAAGCTCCAGTAATAATAAGATGAAAAGTTTTATCTTGAACTCTGTCATGGGTACAACTAGCATGTATAAACCTTAGTTAAACAATTTAATAATCAATTAAAAGAGAATGTCCAAAACATGGACATGAACGGAATGCTTACCAACAGTGGTCACACAAACAATACTTGACAAGAACACATGGCAAACATGAGGGCTTAAATACACAATGACTAATGACTAGACAAGGGACACCTGTGAACAATGAAACAATGAACCAATGACAACATGACACATCAGACAAGGGAACACATGGCAGGATCACATGACTATAACAGGGAATCACATGACAACAGGAAACATGACAAAGACATGAGACATGACCAAAACAAGACGTGACAGATTGAATGAGTTCACTCGATAACTTCCATTATGGTTTCGGACACCAATACAAATGGCTGTTCCCTCAAATAGAGCCCTATTAGGGGGTGATTTCGGACACAGCCCTTGTGTTTCCCTTTTTCCTTGTCAGATGTAGATTGTAGATGGTGCGTGTCCCTGTTTTTTGGTTCTCTGTATTTCTTGTGTTGCCTGGCTTCTCTATTAAGTTTATTTTTATTTTTATTTTTATTAGGGCTGCAAAATTAATCGCAATGAAACCGCATGCGATTTGGCAAAGGCTGTGATTATTTTATGCACAGCTTGTCAGCCTTATTCTGTGTAAGGATGCTCAACTGTCGTTATGAAGGGAGTTTGGAGTAAAAGCATGTTATTAAATGTTGTCTTTTGTTGGACAAGAGGTTCATAGATGCTTCTCATGTTTGGAAAGATGTTTGACGCGTGTTGCTATTTCAAATGCACGTTATAAATGACTCAAACTCACAGTGCTTTCAGATGGTGCAGCGTTTACAGAGCCGTACATTAATGACAAGCTGCGCATAACAAATAATCGCAGCCTTCGCGATTTCAAAATCGCGATAAGCCAACTCGATTTAAGTGCGATTACACGTAAATTGCAATTAATCGTGCAGCCCTATTTGTTATATAAAACCCCTGCATCCCTTCAGCTTCTGCTTCATTATAGAAACAATCAGGGAACTAATCAACATGAAAGACTACAAGGGACTACAAACATGGCACAGAAACAGGAAATAACACAAGAGTCCAACCAAGACATGGGGATCATATAACACAGAGCCTGTCTGATGAACTCAGCAGGTGAAATATTGAAATGGGACTGACTTTATTATTACCTCATTTTATATTTGTAATATTCTGATGTTGTTGACATTTATGTTAAAAACATTCTAGTGATATCCCTGATTTATTTCAAAGTGAAAATCATATTAATTTTACCAATGGCAGGCAAGTTTTGTGACATTTGCCCACTGTCTCAAAGAATAAGTGTTAAAAACATCAAAATTTGTTTCTCTTATAGTTTGCAGACTCTTTCAATTTCAATCCTCATAAATGGCTCCTGGTCAACTTTGATTGCTCTACATTGTGGTAAGTGTCAACAGGCTTATTTAATGTATCCTCTGACCCAATCTACTGTATCCCAACACACTATGGGTCAGCTTTGTCAGGCTACAGAGGAAACGGTTCCAGCTGCCCTTCATTTCAGTACCAGGCAAACAGATGCGGTCATCATGGTTATATGGAAAGAAAGTAAAGACACAAATTGACCTTGATATACACTACCATTCAAAGGATTGGGGGCAGTAAGATTTTATTTATTGAGTTATTTGAATGAAATTAATACTTTTTTTCAGCAAGGATGCATTAATTTGATCAAAAGTGACAGTAAATAGTTTGACACTTAAGACATGCACATGGTAAAAATGTATGAAATTCTTCACTTTGGAAACTAATTTTGAATCCCTGGCTCTCTGTGTCAAACAGCTTGTCCTTCCCACTTGTCTGTAAAAGAGCTGAATGGCAATAAAGGGAACCTTAAACCTTGAACCTTAAAACAAATGTTGCGAGACCTTTTCTAAAAACGAACTGGACTTTTCTTAGCCAATGACCATTAGTGTATTATGTACTGTACTGCAAATACATAGACAGAAAGATTCTCACATTCATATATACAGTATATACTACAAATATAAAGAAGTTACTTTGTTGAGAAAAAATATGATTGTATCTCAATGCATAATCCCCTCTTATACCAGTAGGCTCTTTAACAGAACTTGATCGGCACTGTCTTGATTCAACTCTGAGGTTATATCATCTCTTTATACCTCACTTTCTCTTTGTTTGTTCAGTTAAATATTGAGTCATGTTGGGCTCCCTGGGGCTTCATTTGGTCTGTGGGCCAAACTGTTATAGATACTTTTAAGCCACACTAGAACAAAATTATAATGCAAAACACTTATTCTTAATATTGAAAAGGAACAACACTTAAAACAGACTCTCACATACTAGACACACTGTGTCAACACTGTGTAGCTTGTTTTTCAGTGTCTGTATCTATTTTTTGTATCTTCTAAGTTCTAACTTTGTTAAAAAAAATGCAGCTAAAGCATTTGCATAATATACATCCAGTAAGCTTACTCTGTCACATCAGGATCCATAATATAACACCAAATAAGATATTAATTAGCCATTATTGAACGTTTAAATCATAATGATATATACTGTACACACACTGATGTACAGTAACTGACTGTTGTCTCCTCCACTCTGTGAGTGATGAATGTGAATGTCTCTGTGCAGGGTGAAGAAAAGATCAGACCTTATTGGAGCATTTAAAATGGAGCCGCTTTATCTAAAGCATGATCACCAAGAGTCAGGTAATTAATCAGTGGCATCACTTCATCACTTTGCACCATATACCATTACATTTCAGTTGCTGACACAATCACTGAAACCTATCAGTCATTATTGTAAAGAATAAGTATAATAAAACTCATAAAAGATTGAAGTGCATTAGCATGAGGTGTAAAGAGGATGACCGTGATCCTCATTAGTGAGACATGACGTTTTGTGCTGACATCCACTTTAAGTCACACTGAAGGCTCGATCAGATTATTCCCCTTAGTGCTCTGCTGTATTCTTTAAGCCTCTCTGTGTGCTGGTAAACAACAGCTTTCTAACCTCCTACACTGACCTCAAGTAGATTTTGTGTGTTTTTGCATGTGTTTGACACATGTTATGACAATTTTTTGGATGCTTAAGATACACTTAAAAATGCATTAGACATCCAAATGTTATAATTATAATACTATTAATATAACATCTTTTATTTTGAAGACAAATAGAACTGGCACATTTTTCTGGCAACTAAAATGTAACAAAAAAATCTAAATGAAGATAAAAAGATATTATTTATGTATAAAATAGTTCCGTTGTGTTGACGGAGGGTAGCCTATTTTCAGGCGCTGCGTCATATCATTACGCCTGCTGCTCTCATGGTACGGCAGTAAAGTTTCTTGATTATTACGCAGGAATGAGAGTATAGTTCCTAGCCATATCAGCCTAGAAAATCGCAACTTTACATTTTCCGTCGGTCTTAGTGCACGATGTAACTACAGAAGAGTCAAGTTTTAAATAGGAAAAATATCGAAACTCTTTGCTTATTTTTTTTTTAGAAATACTAATGGTCTTGTCCACTTCAATGATGTATGCTAAGCTATGCTAAAAGTGGTACCGCCAGAACCGGAGATCGGCTGAATGGATTCAAAAACGGTAAAACTCAACAGTTTAACTCTGGGGGAGTTGTAAAATGAGCCTATTTCCAAAAAAAGTGGAGTATCCCTTTAACAGTCTTAAAGTCGATATGAAACAGAAATTGCAATTGTCTTTTTTCCTGTAGTAAAACGGCTTTTCAAACCAGAAAAAAAGAGTAGGACGGGACTTGATTTTGTCCATAGGGAATTAATTGGATCGTTGTGTTCTGCTATTGCAGTGATCTCATGCGAGTGTCAGGTTGTCCCGCCCTCGGGCCAGTAAATATGCCATCAGGAAGAGATGCTGTTGCAAGAGGGAGGGGGAATTATTTTGATTAAAGATTACGAGGGCACATGAATAAAAAAATAAAAGAAGATGTGCACTTATTGTGCACTTAGATGTGCATATACTTATCACTTACATTCAGTGTTGGGGGTAACGCATTACAAGTAACATAAGTTACATAATCAAATAGCTTTATTCAAGTAACTACTAACACATTACTTTTAAATTTACAACAACATATTTTTTACTTTTTCAAATAAATAATACAAGTTACTTTGTTTTTCCATTTATTGAATTTATTAACTAATACCTTTGCTGCTGAACTTTGATGATCCAATTCAACCATACGAATAAGCAAAAATTACTTTAGATAAACATTACATTTGGGTTTAATTTTTTGGTTTTGGTTTTATTGCTGAAGTAAGAGTGTTGAACTTTCTTCTCCTGCAAACTATTCTTCTGAAATCCAGAATGACAGCACAGCTGAAATGTCTGTTTGAGCTGCACCCTCTACAGTACAGGAGTGAATTTACATTTCTTTCAGCCTGAGGCTTATTCATTTCACTTTTGGTGTGAAAGGGCTTTTACATTTGCCAAAAATAGAACTTTTGTTTTTGTATGTTATTACAAAACAAGCAAGCAAGCCCAGATAAGAAAAAGTAACACAAAAGTAACATAACACATTTCTGTCCATAAAAAGTAACAAAATAATGTACTTAGTTACTTTTAGGGAGTAAGGCTGATTTATACTTCTGCGTCGGACCTACGCCGGAGCCTCTACGCTATAGACTACGCGTTGGTTTTCATTTATACTTCTGCGTCGTTGTCCGCGTTGACGCACAATTACACATGCAGAGGGAGCATGTGAAACCCGGGGAGCGGTTCTAGCAGACCAATCACAGCGCTTGCGTCCGCGTAGAATTGACGCGTTGTTACATTTTTGGAGAGGTGCACGTCAGGGTATGCCGAAGGGTACGCGCGCTACACACAGCTACGGGCTTAACACAATATTGTAATGCATTACATTTTAATGTACTTTCCCCCAGCACTGTTTATATTAAATACTGCAGTATTCCATAAAAAAACCTGTTAAGTTTGATTTCATTTCAGTGACCATTTCATACTTGTTCTGTCAACACATTCTCATCCCAAGGCGTCATCTAACTGACACTTTTGACCATGCGTCAACATACCGACGCACATGGTACCCCTTAAGCGTCAATATGAGACGCTCATCCTCGGGCGTCATCTAACTGACGTTTTTGACCATGCGTCTAAATCCGACGCACATGGCACCCTTTAGCGTCAGTTAGATGACGCTTCCGTTATGGGTAGGTTTAGGTCTGGGGTAGGGTTAGGGTTAGACCACTAGGAGGCGCGTCTCATATTGACGCTTAAGGGGTACCATGTGCGTCGGCATGTTGACGCATAGTCAAAAGCGTCAGTTAGATGACGCCTTGGGATGAGAACGGGCTGGTTCTGTAGTCTGACAACAGAAACAGAAAAATATATAAATAAAAACAGCTCTATTATGAATTCAGCTATATTGAATACAGTATGTGTACACAGAGAATAAAGCAAACAGATACTTGCTATTGCTAATTAGCACATTGTGTCATCTAGTGACAATTACCAACTTTTCAAGCAAGCTTTACCTACTTTTCATTTGAAAGTAGTTGGCATCAGTGCTTCTAGTTGTCAAATGTTAATGGAACATGTCCATAGTGTGATGAACTAAACACGTGGTTGCTCAGTTAGAACACCTATGTGAACGTCTCAGGTTACGAATGTAACCATGGCTCGCTGAGAAGGGGAACGAGACACTGCATCTTAGAGCGATGCTATGGGGAATGCCATCAGTGTGATGAGTGTCTAAAGCACGTGTATACAAATGAAAATATAATTGGCAGATGTCACCCCCGGAGCTCCCGCGCGTTTAAGAGGGCGCCTGCAATAGACGTCATACATTTTTTTTTGCCTGAATGAGGCGTGCAGACAAGCCCGAGGCATGGCAATGAGACGCAGTGTCTCATTCGCCTTCTCAGGGAACCATGGTTACATTCACAACCTGAGGCGTTCCCTTTCAAAGTGGAACTCAACACTGCATTTTGGATCGACGTTATAGGGGACTAATACTCGCTCCGCCATGTTGAGGGAATGCCTGCCTCATTAGCTGTGCATGTGACCACAATGGGCATGGCATTATTGACTCTACAGACTTGTTTAGCTGGAGTCAGAAGCATCAATCATACAGGGCGGCGCATCCTAAGACTCATAGACCATCAAGTGGTAATATTCCCCTCAACCATTACCCATGATCATATCCCTCCGTGACAAGGAAAGTCCTGGCCTTTTTCAACCTTCCTCCCTTCCTTGTGGGCCCAGCCTTGGCCATCTGTGGCCCAGGAGCAGACCTCTAAGATTTAGTTATTACAGCTTCTTTAGCTTGACACAGCAATTCAAGAATACTGGCCCAGGGAGATCATTTTTATATACTACCCTGGCCTACTACTTCTATTAATAGAGGGAGCAAACACATAGGGTTTTCATTTAGAATAACTATTCACCCTCCTCTCTACATACAACTCTAACCTCTAGGAAGCCGCAGGGGAGCTTCAGCTCTACTACCCCAATACAATCTGAGGATAGCACTCACCCCCTGCCTGGACTACTCCAGGACCCCAAGACTCCCAGCACCTGACAAAGGCGCCTGGTAACAGGAAGAGCTGCCAGAAGGCCAATTAACCCTTTACTTGCCAGATTCTAAGAGATCAGTTTAGGCTCCAATAGGGAATGGAGGACCCTACTTTAAAACCCAGACAGTAGTGGAGGGTTTTACTCTACACTCAACACAGAAGGACTAATAATAATAATAATAATAATTCATTATATTTATATAGCGCTTTTCTCGGCACTCAAAGCGCTTTACATGGAAGGGGGAATCTCCTCAACCACCACCAATGTGCAGCATCCACCTGGATGATGCGACGGCAGCCATATTGCGCCAGAACGCCCACCACACACCAGCTTACTGGTGGAGAGGAGACATAGTGATGAAGCCAATTGGTATATATATATATATATATGGGGATGATTAGGAGGCCATGATGGACAGAGGCCACTGGGCAAATTGGGCCAGGATGCCGGGGTTAAACCCCTACTCTTTCGAAAGACATCCTGGGATTTTTTGTGACCACAGAGAGTCAGGACCTCGGTTTAACGTCTCATCCGAAGGACGGTGCTCTTTGACAGTATAGTGTCCCCATTACTATACTGGGGCGTTAGGACCCACACAGACCACTGGGTGAGCACCCCCTGCTGGCCTCACTAACACCTCTTCCAGCAGCAACCTGGTTTTCTCAGAAGGTCTCCCATCCAGGTACTAACCAGGCTCAGCCCTGCTTAGCTTCAGTGGGCAATCAGTCTTGGGCTACAGGGTGATATGGCTGCTGGCACAAACCTGTCCAGGGTAACAAGAAGAGCTGCTAAAAAGCAACTTAACCTATGTTTGTTGGTTCTACAGGACTGTTTGAGGCTCCAACAGGGAGTGGAGGACCTTACTTTAAAACGCCAACAGTAGGAGATGGTTCTACTCTATACTCAAACCTGTCCAAAGTCCCATGGCTCCCAGCACCTGACAATAGGTACCTGATAACAAGAAGAGCTGCTAAAAGGCAAATTAACCTCTACTTGTTAGGTTCTACAGGACTGTTTGAGGCTCCAACAGGGAGTGGAGGACCTTACTTTAAAACGCCAACAGTAGGGGAGGGTTCTACTCTACACTCACATCTGTCCAGGGTCCCAAGACTCCCAGCACTTGACAAAGCTGCCTTGTAACAAGAAGAGCTGCTAAAAGGCAGTTTTCTCTCTATTTGTTTTCTTCCGATTCTACTTTAAAACTGAGACAGTAGGGGAGGGATATTTCCGGACAGGAATGTTGTTCCAGGATCAACAAAATACACTCACCTAAAGGATTATTATAGGAACACCATACTAATACTGTGTTTGACCCCCTTTCGCCTTCAGAACTGCCTTAATTCTACGTGGCATTGATTCAACAAGGTGCTGAAAGCATTCTTTAGAAATGTTGGCCCATATTGATAGGATAGCATCTTGCAGTTGATGGAGATTTGTGGGATGCACATCCAGGGCACGAAGCTCCCGTTCCACCACATCCCAAAGATGCTCTATTGGGTTGAGATCTGGTGACTGTGGGGGCCATTTTAGTACAGTGAACTCATTGTCATGTTCAAGAAACCAATTTGAAATGATTCGAGCTTTGTGACATGATGCATTTTCCTGCTGAAAGTAGCCATCAGAGGATGGGTACATGGTCAGAAACAATGCTCAGGTAGGCCGTGGCATTTAAACGATGCCCAATTGGGGCATCTAAACGATGCCCTTAGTTTCATTTAAACGATGCCCTTAGTGGGGCCTAAAGTGTGCCAAGAAAACATCCCCCACACCATTACACCACCACCAGCCTGCACAGTGGTAACAAGGCATGATGGATCCATGTTTTTTATTCTGTTTACGCCAAATTCTGACTCTACCATCTGAATGTCTCAACAGAAATTGAGACTCATCAGACCAGGCAACATTTGTCCAGTCTTCAACTGTCCAATTTTTGTGAGCTCTTGCAAATTGTAGCCTCTTTTTCCTATTTGTAGTGGAGATGAGTGGTACCCGGTGGGGTTTTCTGCTGTTGTAGCCCATCTGCCTCAAGGTTGTGCGTGTTGTGGCTTCACAAATACTTTGCTGCATACCTTGGTTGTAATGAGTGGTTATTTCAGTCAAAGTTGCTTTTCTATCAGCTTGGTTCCATCAACATTAGTTATCTGCTTGTGGACAGCAGAGGGGGCGTATTTATTAATAACATCCTCCTCAACTCTCTCTGAATCTAATCCCTCAGAATTCCACATTAATCGGTTTCTTTTCTTCTCTTTTTTTGAGATTAGAAACTGGCATGGAAGTATTAGAGCTAGTAGGAGGAGTCCTGAAAGGTAAAGGACTTCCTATCAGACTCTTCCCATGGTCCAACTACAATCCTTGCGATTGTAGCTGATATGGCATCGCGGGGTGTAGGCTCTGAAATCTCATCCCTCAAGAGAGAGTCAAGCATATCCTATGTGGAGCTTCTCACCATGACCACAAAGCTTGCTCGAGAGTCGAACATGCTCTGTTCAAAGCCAGATTCTTATCACCAGAGTCTGCTACCACGATTGCAATGCTAAGAGTGCCTACAACTTCAACGCTTGTGCAAACGCTGACTACTATTCCTTGGATGAGAATCAAGGAAGAACAAAGATTATTACCAGTCTCTTTCATTCAGTCTCGCGAATGCATCATAAAGAGCACATCCAGCTTCCTCAAGGAGTCGATCACGCTCCATCCGTAGCGTTTGTTTCATCTGCACATACAAACAAGTGTCTCCTGAAGACAAAAAGAGTTGATGATGTCTACTTCAGGCACCCTCTTTTACGTGTGGGGGCGTTCCGGTATTGACGTCATTGACTGTCGTCGGCCAATGAAATTGTTGTGAGTATACACGTGCTTCAGACACCGGTCACACTGTTGGCGTTCCACATAGCGTCAATCCAAGATGCAGTGTTAGAAAGGGAACTTAATGCTTCATACATTCCCTAAAAATCACCTTTACACCTGGATACAAGTAAAATTCATTATTTGTTTGCAGATGCCACTTTCTTGATATTTTTATATCTAATTCAATATCATTTATCTGTAGTTTTCTCAAATCCGTCAACCAATGAGCTGCCTGTTGCTTGTTGGCCAGTTAAACATGACTAAACAAAGACAGTTTATCTGGTCATGTGTCTGTAGGCAGTGTGCAGCTGTGCAGACGATTGTAATTGTGCTGACAGCAAGACAAAAGAGCAGCCATGTCTCTCAACACACACGCACACACACATGCACATATGCATACACACCTTAAAGCCATTTCTATCATGAACAACTTCCTGATTAAATTATCATTAGGCTTTGCCAGATGGAAAAAAGAACTATGTTATTCTTAAACATTTTATTGCTTGTTACTTGTAATCATTGTTGTACTGCGTATATATTATTTACACCTGAGCTTTCTTGTTAGTGTGATTTGAATAAATATTGAAATATTTTTCTTTTATATATTTATAGGACTTGTCACTGATTATAGAGTAAGTATACTGTGTGTGTGCGTGTGTGCGTGCGTGGTTGTGTGTGTGTGTGTGTATTGTGAAGGATTATGATGAGTTGTGACTGAAAAAAAATATTGCAGGTCTTGATAGGCTCTGATATGGTGAAGTGAAACAGCAGTGAAATTACAAAGATACATATTTAGAATAGACCAATACATCCTTTTTACTGGTAATCTGGCAAAAAAAATTTTTTTATTAATATATATATATAGCCCAGTGTTCGTTCCATGTGTTAGGTCAGTGAATTCTGATGTGGTTTATGCATTAAAAAAAGGAACAATTACTGTATATGCATCTTTAAAATATTGGTAACACTTTACAAAAAGGTGTTATAGGTATTTGTTAACATTAGTTAATGAATACACAAACATTAAATAACAATGAGCAATTTGTTTGTTACAGTATTTATTAATCTTTGTGTTAATTAATAAAAATGCAGTATTTAATTGTTTTTTCATATTAGTTCACAGTAACTACTGTTAACAAATACAACTTTTGATTTTAATAATGTATTAGTAAATGTTGGAATGAACATTGATTAATAAATTATGTATGTATTATTCATTATTAGTTCATGTTAAATAATGAAATCTTATTGTTAATAGTGTTATCAAAATTTTTAGCAAATTGTTATTAATTAATATATTTAATGCATGATTTACATTTGTATTTGCTTGCTAATTTTATTGCTTTAAATGTAATATACTTTTTTAAACAATGTACAATTTTGGTCCAGCAGCAAAACCAGTTGAGAACCATATCTAAGAACTACTAAGAACCAATTTAAATGCCAATTAACTGTATAATTTATCTACGTGTATTTAAGTATAGGTGATGAGACAAGTGAGGAGTACAAACTTTTGTATAAGTAGAAGTGTATGTGCACCGATTTGTGTCTGTGATTCATGTGTACTTCATGTATTTATGTGTGCACAGTTCATATGTCATATCTCATCTCATCTCCCTTCAGCACTGGCAAATTCCATTGGGACGTAGGTTCCGCTCTCTCAAGTTGTGGTTTGTGTTCCGCATGTACGGACTCAAAGGTCTCCAAGCCTACATCCGCAAGGTAACTGCCTTTAATCCATGCTGTCAATCAAATTAGCCCTGCCAGTCACATCTTATTCGGCTCCACAGCCGATTTGGAATGACGCAAATCAGTGCACTCTATTTGTTTTTGAAAGACATTATGTGTTCGGTTCTGCACATGTACTATAGGAAGTCTGGTCCAGGTTCTATTTTTTTTTGTTGAGAAATATAGTGCATGAATTTTAAACTCTATGTATTCTTAAAAAATAAACAAATATATTTTTGTTCTTGTTAGTTTACTCAAAGTTACACTAGAAGAAAAGTTTCGTTATAGAACCATAAAGAGTTCTGTCAGGCGCATATATACATATACATAGAAAAAAATAATAATAATAACCCCTTAAACATGATTATGCATGTATTATGCAGTCCTTTTAAACATTTCGGTAGCACTTTATTTTACAGTCCAGTTTAATATAGGATAATTTGTTTTAATGATTAGGACACAATCATTCACCATTTTATATTTTGGTTGTTTATTTGAATCTACAGACTGCCCTCTGCTGGTATGCTTGAAAGAGTATTTCACCCAAAGAAATAAGAAAATTCTGCTAGTCTGCACATTTACATTTTGTTTTCTGATCTATCTATCTACCCATCTATCTATCTATCTATCTATCTATCTATCTATCTATCTATCTATCTATCTATCTATCTATCTATCTATCTATCTATCTATCTATCTATCTATCTATCTATCTATCTATCTATCTATCTATCTATCTATCTATCTATCTATCTATCTATCTATCTATCTATCTATCTATCCATCCATGCTGCATCTCATGTCTAAAATGCTTTGCTCATCTTGTCTCAGCATGTAGGGTTGGCCAAAGAGTTTGAGTCTTTGGTGAGAGCTGATCAACGCTTTGAGATCTCAGCTGACGTTGTGCTGGGCCTCGTCTGCTTTAGACTCAAGGTCAGAGAAAACACTCTCTCTACAGAAACACAAAAGATCTCTTCTTGTGGTTATAATAGATTGACGCTTGGAGGTGGTTAACTATGGAAAATTGCAGTATGAATTATTTTAATTTCCGAAGATCTGCAAAGAGAGCAACACAAATGACACAAAATGATGCTGTTACAAAGAGTAACGTCAAAAAAACCCCCACAAAAACAACAACAACAAAAAAAGTGTCTCTGCTACCACAAACCATTTCAGGCGAATAAACTTACTAATGTGTTATTTCGCATTTAGATGTAAACTTGCATTAAATTATTTACACTTTATTTAGGCAAAGGTAAATATTATATAGTATATATATATATATATATATATATATATATATATATATATATATATATATATATATATATATATATATATATATATATATATATATTATTTATATATTTCAGTGTTATTTAAATATGACTGGTAAAGTTTTTGTTAGAATTTTTAATTGAAATTTTAGTTTAAGTTTTAGTAATTTTGCTGTTTTTTCTTCTTCATTTGTATTATTTTTATTTGTGTTTTTATTTAAATATGTTGGTAACACTTGGCGAAAAGCTTCCATTTATTAACAGTGCATTATGATTTGTTAATTTACATTTACTAATACATTATTAAAGGCAAAATTTGCATCTATTCATATTTAATGTATAAGCTAACATGAACTAACGATGAAAAGTTTTTTTTATTGACTAACATCAACAAAGGTTAATAAATACTGTAACAAATGTATTACTCGTTAGTTAATTCATTAACTAATGTTACCTATGTGAACCTTATTGCAAAGTGTTACCAATATGTCTATATAGTTTTTATTAAGTTTTAGTTTTTAGTTTTAGCTATTATAGTACTTCAACTTAAATTGAACGAAAATGAGAAATGAAACAAATTTGATATATATATTAATTTTTTTTTTTTTTTTTTTTTGTTAAAGATAACATCCTTTCAATTTTGGATAGAGTTCCTCTTATCAAATCTTGAGCAGTCCTTTGACTAATTCCACCCCCTGGATTAAAAAAGTGAATGGATGTTTTTCATTGTATGGTACGGTACACTGCAAAGACACAGTTATATGCAAACACCATATAAAAGTGAATTTTGCATCTGGGGACCCCTTTAAGGTCTGTGGACACTTTTAAAAAGCAGCGAAAACCCACTTCTTTAAACTCGCTTTCGTCTAAATTGTTCTCTATCACTCTGATTATCTGTATTATCTGTCTGTAAGTCTTATTTTGATTTCTGATGTAAAGCACTTTGTGAAGTTTTGCTCTAGAAAGGTACTTTAGAAAAAAAAAAATCCTGTTCTTACTTACTTACTGAGCTGTGTATTAAACATTGCAGGGCTCCAATGAATTGAATGAAACACTGTTGAAGAGGATCAACAGTGCACGAAAGATCCATCTGGTTCCATGCCAACTGGCGGGCAAGTTCGTTCTGCGTTTTGCCGTGTGTGCCCGTACTACTGAGTCACGGCATATTCAGGAGGCTTGGTCCCACATCTGCCACCTGGCATCAGAGCTGCTTCAGGAACTGCCCCACTGACTATGGTGGGCATCACATGTTAAGTCAAAAAGGGTGATCTGTGCCACACCTGCTATCCACACTGTCTTACTTTAACTCTACTGCTGCGAATTGTGCATAAATGTGTGTGTGCATTGTCAAAATGTGCCTATGTTTGTGCATGTTTGTCACAAAGGTGTCCACCAAGAGTGCAGCATGTCTGTCTTTTGTGAGCTGGATCATTTGTGTTGTCTGCTAAAAGCAATGTTGTTGTTTTTCCACAAAATGGCCAAAAATTACATTTGTTTTTAATGACCCTACAAGTTCGATTAAATGATCAAATTATTTTCAAGGTATATTATGTAGGTTTTAGCCCTTTAGCTTTAAAAAAAAAATTGCATGCATTTTCCGGAAGAACCTTGTTTTGGTTGTGCTTCGGCTCGTGACTGTGTGGATGAATATGGTTATCCTACTGCTCATAAAGCATTCACTACAAGGCTTAAGAGATATAACCAGTTTATTTGGAAAGGATCTCAAGCTGAGTTTCTGAAGACGATACTCTAGCTATACCCATTAAAAGACACGGAAAATAAATTCCAGCACAACACTACAGAAACCATAATGAATTGACCCTTCACAATAGATAATGCTTTACAATGAACCTTGTTAGAGAGCTAAATATGGCGATTTATTTTTTTAATAAAATACCTTATTCACCTGTTGAGTAATAAATACGTATACGAGATCAAAAAATCTCCGCGTCGCTTTTTCAACATTTCAAATCCCTCAGTTATCAGCATCTCCGAAAAGCCAAGCCAATGTTGATGTCAATCTTTGTCATTTGATATAACAAAAAACCTATGCCACTCTTACAACATATGCGCGTCAAAGTAGCCGGAGCAACTTTATTTATGGATATAAGACACGCACGGGCGAGTGACGCATATATGCAATTTCCCGCGAAAACCACCCCGACAGGTCCAAAATATAAACGCTTATAATAGGCTTATCATAGTGAATCAGGGTAAGACAAAAACATGTTTTGGAAGAAGGTGATGATGTATTGACTCAACATGGTTAAGCTTTTTATCTGACAAAATTATTTGGCAAAACAAAACAAAGGCAATCAACAGGTTTGGTTTTACTAGGCCAAAAAAATGCATTGAAAAACAAAAAAGCTCACAGGAAAAAGCACTGACTACAACATGATCAGTTATTAATATTTATTAAAATGTCTTTGTATGCCTGTCCAAAAAAATTATGTCAGCACAATTTGGCATGTTTCATTGCTTTATCACAAATAAAACAATGGACTCAAAGCAAAACTACTTAATGTGGTTACAAAATCGTTAAATAAATCATTAATAATATTTAAATAAAGGGTTAATATGTCAATTTTCCAAGGCCGGACATCACTTTTGGCCACTACTGTACGTGTGCATTTGAAAATATGTCTACATTCAAAATCAAATATGTTTTGTAAGATATTCAGAGAATGTTTTCTCTTGAATTAGAGTATAGAGCAAGTGTTCAGACTGCTTTTACCAAATAATTGGCCTTTATTGTTTCTGCTTTGCTCACTTTTCTGCATTTTCAAAAACCTAAATCAAATATTAAGTCTAATCTCTTTCCTTTCTTTTACTAAAAGCATTGTTCTTGACTCAGCACAGCTTCTGTGACGCGATACCTCACCAACCTTCTTTGACACAGTTGTGCCCAAAAAAATGTGACTGGTACATATTCAATAGTAGTGTATATGTATTAACATACACAATAAAGTGCATTTCTCCCAAAATGTTGCGTGTGATTTGTATACTGCTACAATCTTCAGAGATGCTAAGATTTATTTCATGATGCTAGGTTTTAATCTGTTAATTCACTATCATAATCTTATTCACTCCAAGTAGACGGGTTTCTGGACTGCAGATGATTTTCTTTCCCCCATATTATATACTGTATATCTATAGATTCTATATAACTATACAATAGTTGAGAATAGATATTTGTGCTGAGGGCCACTGCCACCCTGCCAGTCTGCTGTATTTCTCCCACAGTAACCTAAAGGGAATGATGTTTAATTACGATAGCCTATTGTTAAAACAAAAATACAAATACAAAGCCTTCATAGACAATAAATACTAGACTTGTACATCCTAAGATATTAAATGTTTAAAATATAAATTATATATAAATTAGTTATATTACAAATAGGGTTGGGAATTTTCAAGGCTGGAAACTTTCCATGGGAATTAACAGGAATATGTGGGAATTAACAGGAATTAATGGGAATAAACTGGGATTTTGCAAATTTCCAATGAATTCCTGTAAATTCCTGTTAAGTTTCCAACTTAAATTCTTAAATGGAAGAGAGTAGGATCAGTTTCCTTATTAGGTCAACATATGATGTTCTCCCATCACCGCAGAACCTAAACCTCTGGGTAGGAGAGGATCCCTCTTGTCCTTTGTGTTCATCACCTGCCACATTAAGGCACATTTTGACAGGATGTAAGGTGGCTCTTAGCCAAGGTCGGTTTACTTGGCGCCATGACCAAGTACTGCGATGTTTGGCTTTAGCATTAGAAGGCAAGCGTAACATGACCAATAAGTTGCCACCTGTTCTAGCAAAACATTACACGCAGAAGACAATGTTCCTCCGCCCAGGCGAGCAACCACCAAGAAAAGGTGTTAACACCAATTCTCGCCCAGGACAACTGGAAGCTGCTAGGGACTGGAAGATGCTGGCTGATCTTGACCAACGGCTTATTTTTCCACCTGAGATCGCCACCACTAACCTACGACCAGATATTGTTTTGTGGTCTGGATCAGCACGCATTGTTCAACTGATAGAGTTAACAGTGCCATGGGAGGATGCGGTAGATGAGGTATATGAGAGGAAGAAACTGCGGTATGCTCATCTGGCCACTGAAGCAGAACAGCGAGGATGGAGAGTCCAGGTTTATCCAGTGGAAGTGGGTTGTCGAGGTTTTGTGGCACACTCTACAACCCGGTTCCTCAGAGACATCGGATTCAGCGGCCAAGAGTTGCGTCGCACAGTAAAGAACTTATCTGAAGCAGCAGAAAGGAGCAGCAACTGGCTGTGGTTGAGACGGAAAGATTCTAGCTGGCTGTGTACAGGCCGCCACGCTACGGTTTCGTAGAATTCTTGAAAACTTGAAGAGTCTGTTGGTTTGTTTGTATACGTTCCTGTGGATATTGCGTGAATGACGGGTGGTTGGGCAGATATTGTGTTTTGCGGTAGGTGGTATGCCATGCGGAACCGTTGTCCATTGAAACTGCATATTAACGCACCAGTGGGGCTCGACAGCCTTAGTCAAACGGGTTGGCGCGTATGGTCGGGTTGCGGAGAGATTGTGAGATTGTGGTTAGGTCTCAGCAGCAGGAGGGATGTAGAGGTCAGTAAGCTGGGCTGAGTTGAGTGGGGGACGGAGGGGGGTGACTCTGGGACGCCAGAGTCACTGTCGAGCCCTCTTGAGGTGTCGTGGGCTAGTCGACGAAACACTGAGGACGGAAGGTGCCCACTTGAAGACCCTAGAGATGTCCCCTACTCGGTTCAATCCAGACGGTTGTCGTGCTGGTCCTGAAGTTGCAGCCGTCGCGTGTGCTGACGCGCCAAGTACACTCCAGCCGTTAACGCCGGACAGAAGGGGAGTCACACCACCTTATGGAAAGAAGCGTAAATGGACGGAGAAGCATAGTTTACTGTAAAGCTACGTCTTAGTTTTGCTTATCTTGGCGAAAGCGGAGTACAAATCAGCATGAAGTTTTAACATCCACTCTCGTGTAATGGAAATCCCCAGATTAAGTTCCCATGGAAAGTTCCGGAAATTTACCAGAAATGGTCCGCCCCTTTACAACCCTAATTAAAAATAAGATATGTTTACTCGGAGTAAACTCTTTACACTAAGGTATTAGTTAATTTGCTGACATTACAATGAACAATACATTTTACAACATACAACCATATTTATTAATCTTCAATATTAATAAAATAATAAAATAATATAACTGTTCATTGCTTGTTCATGTTAGTTTACAGGGTACTAACTAATGCTGACAGATACAACTTTTGATTTTAAACATATTGATAAATACATAAATGAAAAAACAAAAACAATATTAACTATAGAATGCAAGGGGGTCAAATTGACAAGGCATGCTATGATTTAAAAAATATATATTTATCAATAAAAACATGTATTTCTTTGATATTCCATAAATTCTTCAAAAACCTTTTTGACTAAACACAGTATTTTTGGATACATATTTGCCAATAATAACATTTCTTTATGGATTACTTACAAGATATTGTGACTTTTTTGCTCGGAGCCAAGAATTCGCCTCTGATACCAACCCTGTGTCTGGATATGCAAATCTGTAAAGCGGTAGGCCCTATATACTGTAGTATTGTAAAGCAGTAGGCCATATGTTAAATAAGTAGTATTCACAGTATTCATTAAACAGTAGGCAAAAAAAGGCCATGAGAGAAGTCCATAGACCATGGGAGAAGTCATGATTGGCAGGGGAAACAACGCAACTAGCTCACATGACAATGCTAACATGGCAGCGGATGTAGTATATTCAGATTGCGCTGCTACTACACACATTCATGCTTAATAATACTTTATTCATACTGTACACATACATAGTTTTTAAGTTATGAAGTTCTCAAATGTAGAACAGTATATGTGATTTCAGATGCATTAGACTAGTAGAGAAAGGCTACAGGAAAGGACAGCTGAAGGACCAGACAAAGAGGTGCAAACTCTGTCCAAGAGTTATGCTTAAAAATGTGAAAATGTAATGTGAAATGTTCTGCCTCTGTCTGCAAAGATCATTTTCACGTGGTCTGTGAGAAATGTGTGAGTGAGTGAATGTTCAGACTAGAATATACTTTACAGTAAATCTATTTTAGTTTTTTTTTTAGTTTTTTTTTTTTGCATATATACAAGGAAAGTGGACAAATAAACATGATTGATATAATAAAACATTTGTGTATAATAAGTTATTTTAGGTATTTAATTAATAGGAAACCTACTTGTTTTTTTTTTTAACAGTTAATTCCAATACGGGTAATTTTGAAATAATTGTGTGTAGTTTTTTTTGGTTCGTGGTTAAATAAGATTAATAAATAGTGTAGAAGTATTGTTCATTGTTAACCCTACCATCCATACCCAAAATGTGTAACAAAATTAAATACAGCATGACCTACAATTATGGCAATAAATAAATAAACAAACAAACAAACATAATCACATCATGTTTGTT